AGAACTATCTATCGTATTCTTACGAGGACAATCAATCCTATCAAAGGCCACGACTCATCTGATGAGGAAATTGTTGGCATCATGAAGAATCTGGTATTCAATATCGTTCATGGCATTCCTGTCAATTATCACGATTTCTTCATGAGGACTATGGCCAATGTTGCACTGTCTCCGTTTGAGCTGAGGCCTTATGCACCTTGGATCATGAGATTCCTCAGGACAAGGTCTTCACTCAACTACGAAGCTGATTTCCGGAATCATCTCAACTACTTGCCCTCAATTGAAGTCCTCAAGCAGACATATTCCTCGGTTGATGGAAAGGGCAAGGCACCAGCTGTAATTGATGAAGGCATTCGTCCATTGGATGGTCAGTTTCGCAAAGCTGCATCTTATTCCACCAATGATGACTCTGCCACACATGACTCTGCCAATGCACCCAAGTCCACTCCTCAAGCCACTGCTCCGCGCGTGATGACTGACCGTGAACTTCTGCTTAGTCTTCGCCAGAAGGTGGATCGAAATCACAAATGGGTTAAGCGTCAGTTTGGTTCACTTCTTCACAACATGACTGCCACACACAATGCAGTGAAGAAAAACCACTACTACCTCCATCAAGTCTTCGGTCGCACCTGGGAAATCCTGTCACATCTGTATAGTGAAGAAGATCTAAAGAACATGGGTCTTAATGAAGATTTTGACTGGTCTGCACCTCCACCGAAGAAATTCAAGAAGGTCAAAGTTCCTTCTCTGGTGGCCAGCTCATATTCTTCATCGCGCGACACTGATGAACATGAAGATTTGGACGACACTACGGCAGGCCCTACATCAACCAACGACCGCAACAACGCTGGCACTCCTTCATCAACATGATTATCTTCAGGGGCGTTAGTCCTCATTTTCGATCATTTTGGTCATTCGATGACAAAGAGGGAGAAATATGAGTTAGTCTTCAAGTGGGTCTACTATATGGGCGTTTTTTTGCTAAGTTACAACTCTCGTTCTTCTGAAACTTTATTGGATCGAGTTGTAATCTTAAACCCGATGGTGCTCTGATACTTTTGATGCACTGTGCTCTGATACTCTTGATGCACTATTCTGCATGCTTATTCCTCGTTAATATTATTGCACGCATGCTGAATTTCATCAGGCACCATATTTCATCATGCATTTCAAATTCTTCATATTATATGTTAAATGCGTGTATGAATTACAAGATATAGGGGGAGATCTCCATGATTCAACTCTTCAAGTGTGCATTGCTTCAAAAGCAAATTCCTCACTATGCACATCTTCAGGGGGAGTTCTTCTATATCTTGCAATAAAATTCCTCAATATCAGTATTTACACTTCACATGTTTATCCCCGTTAAAAACTTAACTTATATTGTCATCAATCACCAAAAGGGGGGAGATTGTAAGTGCATCTAGTGCCCCTTAGTGATTTTGGTGTATTGAAGACTTATAGGTTAAGGGACTAATGCGTGTGTGAGTGTACACAGGTCTATAAGTCTATGAGGAGTTTGATATTTACAGGAAAAATCGACCCCTAAAAATGAATATCTTCGACTGAAGATTTTGGTATTTCTGAAGACTTTCATGAAGACTTCGAAAGTGAAGAAATTGGTGTGTCCGTGAAGACTTGATATTCATGCGAGAAATATGAAGCTTGAAGACTTTCGTGTTCATTGTTTTGTTTTTCTCTTTCTTGAGTCATAGGAAACACCGTACTGTTAAAGAGGGTCGAGGAAATACTAAGGAAAAATTTCCATGTGATGCTCAACTCAAAATCCTACACCTACCAATCCCTTCGAATGAAGCCATTGAAAATCTCATACAGTTCAGTTAATTTCTTCAGTGACAGAGACGAAGTTCTTCTGGTCTCTGAGGAATTTGTCCTGACTGAGGAGTTAGGAATTCGCTAGTGCGGATTGCCTACACAGTGAGGAACATGATAGCCCTAAGGATTTTGCTACTCAAAATTCCGACCGTTGCTGTGCTATGCGCCAGCTGTCCCAAAATATCTATCCACCTAACGGTCATACCATTGAAATGCATCTATGTATTATCATGTCGGGCTGCTCCCTAGGCTATAAATAGCCGCCCCCTACAACCACTAGCTGGTTGGCTACTCCGAGAGAAACTGACAATTGTCATTTGAGAGCAACCCATCCTCCGAGGACTTTGAGCGAAAATCATCAAGTGAGGAAAAACCAAAAACCCAAAATCCAAACACCTACAAACCCCAAGTGATTGAGCATCACTAAAGAGATTGATCATGAGTGGATCCGACGCTTGTTACCTTTGAAGAGTGTGCTTCTTCCAGACGGTTAGGCGTCATGATCTAGAGCATCCAAGAGAAATTGTGGATCGCCGAGTGACCAAGTTTGTGAAGGTTTGGAAGTCGCCTGAAGACTTACCACGAGTGATTGGACGAGGTCTGTGTGACCTTAGTTCAAGGAGAATACGGTAAGGACTGGGTGTCTTGGAATAAGTGTCCCTGACTGGGTGTCCGGGACTGTGTGTCCTCGAGTTTAAATACTCAGCCGCTCCAATCAGACGTACAACTAAGACAGCAGTTGGAACTGGTCTACCAAATCATTGTCTTCACCGAGCTAACTGGTTCTATTTCCTCAACTCTTTCATTTCCTCATAACTGTGATGTGTGTTTGTTTATATCTGTGTTTGAAGAATTTGTCTGGAGACTTTCTTAATTTCCTCAGTTCAATTTCTTCAGTTTGTTTGTCTTCGTCCTGTGTTATCCTGTGATTACGCTTCCTGTACTCTGTGCCTGTCTTCATTTCATCATGATGACTATGCTTGTATTCTGTTATGTTTACTTTTGAGTACTTATTCCGCTGCTAGTAGTTCTTCGCTAAGGAATTTCCTCACCGGCAAATTCCTCAGTGAAGAATTTCGTAAAAATCGCCTATTCACCCCCCTCTAGTCGATATAACGCACTTTCACGACTTTCGCTGGCAGTCTCACCTACATAGCCCGAACCATGGATCCGATCAGCCTACACATCGAACCACTATCCCTGTCTCCACGGCTAACCGCACCTCCCCGACGAGCTCGACCACTATTCTTGCCTCCACGGCTAACCGCACCTCCCCGACGAGCTCAACGTGCTTCCAACCTTGCATCCACACCCCCACTGGACGGAGGATGCAACCCCTAGCGGCGCCATTCGTCTCCCATCGGAAGGATGCAACCAAGCACCACGCCATTCGTCTCCTCGAGGATGCAACGCCTGCCAGCCATTCATCTCCCGACGAAGGATGCAACACCCGCAGCAAGGCCATTCCTCTCCCTCCAGCCACCACCATCACGGCCTCCCACCCGAAGCAGCATCGAGCTCACCGAACCACCAAGAAGAAGGATGCAACACCAGGCGAGGTGCCATTCATCTCCCACAACCTCGCCCGCACAGCCAGCAGACACCAGATCGAGCCATGTTGCCTGCGGAGCTCCCATGCGCGGGCCCGGCCGCCAACGCCCCAGCACACCAGATCCGGGCCGCCAGAGCCACGGGGCGGCATCCAGGCGCCAGATCCGGATCCCCGACGCGCGAGCACGACGCCTCCCTGCGCAGCCAAGCCGCTCCTCCGAACGCGGTCACCCCGCCAGAGCGAGCGCCCTCGAGACGCCAGATCCGCGCGGGCTGGAGACCTCGCGCGCCCACGGATCCTACACCGCGACCTGCCTCCTCCTCGCGCCAGAGGCGCGCACGCTAGCCACCCCTCCGCCATGGCGTGCCGAGCAGCGCCGGCGCGCACACAGCCACACGCCGCAGCGCCTCGCGCCTGCCTCCTTTGCTTGGCGCAGCTGCCCCGCGCAGCCCACCTCGCGAGCAGGAGTGGAAGAGCCCGCCGCCGCCGACACCACACAAGCTTTGCCCGGGCGGCGCTCGCCGGCGGCGGCGGGGGAGGAGGGGCGGATGGGTGGCGGCGGTGCCCGGCGGCTAAGGGTTAGCGCCCGGGCCGCTCGCGGGAAGCGACACGGGGCTCGGTCTCTAGGGACGATTTTTAGCGCCTCCTGGAGATGCTCTTACGTGACGTTCGTCGGGTTTCTCTGACGCCGCCCCGCGTGTCGCCGAACGTTACACTGCTACAAGTAGTACACGGCACAGAAAAAGCAACAGCGAGCACGCGTCCCTGCGGGCTCTGTTTTTCCTTCTCTTTTTTCTGTTGGGTGGACAAACCTACGGCCTCTGTTGAGCAGAGCAGGCACATGCGCACCGCACCGCACCGCACCGACAGAGACGGGAGGTCCGAGGGCAGTTGGGTTGGGTACCCGTCAATTCTCGCGCCCGGAAAGGCGGGGTTTAAGCTGGCAGTGCCGAACTTGGCCAAACAAAACGAGACACAGCACGCAGCACATTGCCGAGAGATGCTACCAGCACCAGCCAGCCAGGCACTTCTGGAAGGAAGGAACACCAGCAAGGGCTTCTTCGTCCAACCACCGAACCGAATCGCCGAATAAACCAGCACACACACGCCTGCCAATCATCGTCAAGTTCAAGTGTTCGACCACCTCCACAAGCAAAGCGAAGCACAACTTTTAACCCCACGCACGACGCACGCTACCGGGGATTAACGGACCGAGATTGCGATGCCTGACCGGCACGCAACGCATCGTACTGCACGACACGGATGAAGATGAAGCCGGTGCCGAGTGACAAACGACCTGCTTTACGCCTGCTTTGCTTTGGCGGGAGGAGACAGCGGCTCCCCGCCAACCCGACGTCCCGATCACCACAGCTCCTCTCTCACACTCATTCACAACCTCCCACAAGCAACAACGACGACGACGACGAACATGTAATCCTAACTTAACTGGCAAAGCGAATTCAGTCGAATCCCGGCAAAAAAACAAAGAATTTAATCGAATAAATCAAACATTACAACACGTATTTTATGTATGTATCGTGGTGTTGCGGTGGAATATTCTCCTCTGCCCTCCGGCAGACGACTACTGGCCGTTGGCGACGGCGCCAACCGGTCAGTCGAGGCGCATCATGTCGCGGTGGAAGGCGTCGACGCCGTCGGCGGCGACGCACTGGGTGATGAGGCGCGCGCCGGGCTTGTGCGCGGAGGGGCGCACCAGGATGCACGTCGCGATGTAGTCCAGGTTGGTGAGCGGCACCACGTGCACGGGGGCGCCCCACCCGTAGTCCACCTCCGCGAACCCCAGCCGCGACCAGTCCGACACCAGCAGCGTCCGGTAGTCCGACGTGATGCGGTACGGGTCGCCGTCGCCGCCCGCCTCGCCGCGGCTCCACCGCGCGAACTCGGACGGGAGCCGCTTCTTGCCCTCGCGGATCAGCCGGACCACCTCGTTCAGCGGCGCCTCCGACACGGCCTCCGCCGCCGCCGACACGCGCATGATGTAGTAGCAGTTGCCGTAGAACCCGTCCGGCAGCGCGCGGGGCCGGAGCGCGGGCCGCGCGTTCATGGCGAAGCACACGTGCACCGGGGAGCCCCTCGCGAACCCGGCGGCGCGGGTGCGGGCCTGCCACGCCTTGGCGATCAGCACCTCGAACGCGCTGCACCGGTGCCCCGTCTCCTCCAGGAACCGGGCCTTGAAGTGGTCGATGTAGTCGGTGGAGATGTCCATGGCCAGGTACTGCAGCCGGAGCTCCGTCGGCACCGGGAGCGGGCCCACGGGCGCGGCCGGCGGGCTCGGGATCGCCTCGCGGCCCCACGCCGGCGCCAGCGACGGCGCCGCGCGCCCGCGCGCGATCTCGCCCATCGCCGACATGAACTGCGCCGCGCCGGGCCCGTCCGCCACGGCGTGGCTGAACCGGAACCCGACCACGAAGCCGCCGCAGGCGAACTGCGTGACCTGCATTGCGGAATGGGCCGAGCGATTACTAAGCGCCATTGCTACCCATGTCGTTGACTTGGTGGAAGAACCAAAGGTTCCAGAACGCACGCACGCTGGACGGACCCAAAAATGGGGATTTTTTCTGCAATCTTGCTGCTAAATTGTTACCTGGACTAGAAGGATTACGGAGTCCTCGGCGAGCGGGTCGGAGGCGGGGTAGGTGGGGTGCGGCAGCAGCTCGTCCTTGGGCACCATGAGCGGGTACTCGAGGTAGTCCACCTCCTCGAGGGTGCAGCTCGCGGTGGCCTCCACGAACCACACGCCCTCGCCGGTACAGTCCACGACCAGCTCGCCGCCGTCGGACAGCGCGAGCCGGCCGGCGATGGGGTAGTAGCTCACGAGCGCGGCGGCCAGCGCGCCCTCGATGGCCCTGACCGGGGACTCGGCGGCATCGTCGCCGGCGCGGCCCTTGAAGACGTGGAGGGACTCGATGAGCGCGCGCTGCGTGGGGTAGCGGTCGAGCCAGGAGAGCGGGAGCTCGCCGCCGGGCGTCGGCGCCGACGGGGCCACCACCCTCTGCGCCACCCGCGTCACCGTCGCGGTAGCGGCCGGGCCGGTGCTCCGCATGGTGGTTGTGGGGGTGGGGGTGGCCAGCCGGCGAGGCGGAGATCTGGGTTGTGGTGGTGGCGCACTCGCTGGCTGGCTCACCTGGGAAAGAGAGCTGCCACCGCTGTTGGTTTTTTATACAAGGAGTTATTGTATGTGTGTGTGCGCTACGACTAGTCGTTGTGCGTTCTTGATGACTGGATATGATAAGGATTGCCTACCGCACGATCAGAGAGATGGAGGAATCAGATTTAGCCATTTTTCTGTCAGACAAATGATTTCATTGTAGAACTACGAATTGTCATGAGAATATTGATTATATTAGGGCATGTACAATGGTGGCATATACATACATATGCCTCGTGATAAAAAATAATTTGAACTATATGTGTTGATTTTTCTCCTTAATCTATATGAGTACGGACAGATATTTTTTTATAATATTATGTTTCGGTGGGCCTTTTGACAGTGTGATTTTGTGTTATCTGTTTTTTTAGCAACATTTTGTGTTATCTGTTATTTACTCTCTCTCTAAATAAATATAAAAACGTTTAGATCAATAAAATAGTGATTTATATGCTTTTATATTTCTTACGGTGGGAGTAACTCATTTATGTGGGTATTTTGTTGCGATGGTGGCGCACGTAGTATAGTACTCACTCATTTTGCTTTATATGTACTCCCTTCGTCTTATAATATAAGAGTGTTTTTGACACTAGTGTAATGTCAAAAATACTCTTATATTATGAGACGGCGGGAGTAGTCCATATTGAAATCTCTAAAAAGACTTGTATATAGGAACGAAAGGAGTATAATTGATAGAGTGGCAGGGCATTTCTAACAGATCCCCATTCGGAGGAGTAAAAAGATTGGTTTTACTCCTCTAACCGACACCTAGCTGATCCCCTAAAACGGTTAGTGGAGGAAAATTTATCCTCCACCGCCTATTCCGTCCCTAAATTTACTCGGCCGCTATTGCTCAGAGTAAAAGTGGAGTCTCTCTCTCGCCTCACCACCTGCCACTGTCTCTTCGCCGACACACCTCCCGGCGATCGCCCGCCGGCCCCGTCTCTATCCCTTGCCTACCTTGGCCCCCGACGCCAAGCCCGTTTGGCCCCCATTGCCGTTGGCGGAATCAAGGTGAAACTTCGTCGCCAGAGCCAATTCGCCGGATTGCTTCGAATCTTCTTCATTTTTCGTTGGCCGCCGCATATGACCTTGCTTGCGCACCACTGCAGGTCATTCCTACGCGTCGCCGCTTTGGTCTAAACAACGTTGGCCGGCCGGTGCACCACACCGCACCGCAAGTATTCGACGGTTTGTCTAGTTGAGTTTTTTTGTACGTTTCTTTTTTAACCGAGCCGTTTGGATTGAACCAAGTCGTTCGAATTGTAGATGAAGAGGTTGAGGGAGATAGTCTTCGAGGATTCGTCGTCATCCGAAGAGGAAGAAGTAGACGAAGACTCTGAAACCGTTTAGGCATGATTTTCAATGATGATGTTCGACGGATGGCATCATCCACCATGGGCCAAAACAATTCCGCATCCATAAGGTAACAAAAGTATTCATTTTGCCCAATGTCAAGAAGCTGCTAGGAAAGATGTGAAGAGAGCCTTCGGTGTGCTTTAGAAGTGCATTGCAATTGTTCGTGGCCCTGCCGAGTACTGGAGCTCCAAGGTTCTATGACAGATGACTTGTTGCATCATATTGCATAGCATGATCATTGAAGACCAGAGAGATATGCCTGAGAACTTTCGGTACATCACCAACGGGGCTCCGATTGAGCCAGAGTATGATATAAATAGGATCATGGCATTCCATGAAGAGCAACGCAGGATCGAGAACTGACAAGTTCATGCTCGACTCCAAGAAGATTTTGTTCAGCATCATTGGCAACTTCATAGCGCTTCCTAGTTGTTCTTTCACATGTTATTTGCTACACATGGACCATCAGTGTGTTTAAATTTGAATAATTCGGTTTGTAAACTTTGAATTTGGTCTGTAAACTATATTCATGATTTGCTTGAACATTCATATTTATATTTAGTTTCTATATGTGTCCTAATATGTAGTCGGAATGTATACTGCAATTGCATAACGTTAGAAAAAGAAAAAATTTACTCCATTATATATAGGGGATCGGGTAGGTCCTGCCAAATCTTAGTGGAGTAAAAATACTTCTCTAAGGGTTTACTCCGTCAGATCCTTCTTTATTTTTTAGGGATCGTTTAGAGTTGTCCTCACATGTTGATATTTATTTTTTCTAGGTGGCGAGAGGGTGCGCCAGATTGATGTGTTTTTACAGACCGATTGTTGCTAATTGACTTGAAAGAACGCTGACCCAGTCAAAATAGTGAAACAAATTCAAAATTGAACATCTCAGTTGAATGAGAGAGCTCCTTAAGAATAGTTGATCCGACCAAAATCGTGAACCAATCTCAAAATTGATCACCTCAAACGAATGGGAAAGCTCCAAAATTAAGAGCATAGTAAATTTAAAAAATGAATGAGAGAGCTCATTTAGAAATCGTTGACTCTGTCAAAACCAAGGACCAAATTTAAAAATCTCTAAAATTAGGGAACATAGTGAATTAAAAAATTAAAGAATTAAATGAGAGAGCTCCTTGAATATTGAAATATCAACCGAATAGGAGAGCTCTATAATTAGGGAGCATAGTAGCTTAAGTGGTGCTTGAGCGGACAACACGAACAATACTCAAACATGAGAGAAAATGAAAAACGCCAACCAATCAAACTCCTAAATCGTCCACATATGTCTGAGATGCCCCCAAACCTCAAACTCAACTCGTGTGGAGAGAAAATGGGGTGTATGAATAGCTCACCACGTTCAGCTCACTCCGATCACTTTCTCCTTTTCGTTTGCCTCTCTTTACCTTTTCTATTTTGATCCCTATCAATCTTATGCATTTTTCTAGAAAATTAGAAAAAATGAGGAGTGTTGTTGTATGTGCGGACACTTCACAGGCATGTTCACAGACCTATAATGGATCAAATTAGCCCTGTTCGATTGAAAATGCTCTTACATCCTCGAAATTGTAATAACTTAAAACTTTAAGAATATATAGCATCTATGTATATTGCAGATCGTGCATGCACTATAGTGCGTGATTGCATGGATTTTGAGCCTCCTGTATCTGCTTCCCGGTTGAAGCCTGGCTGGGCTGATACGATGCTTCGGCCATGTTATGCATTGTGTGTGTTAGCCCGTATCGTATCACTGAAGATTATTCTACCTGTTGTTTCATCACCTACATCAATGGTTTTAGAGCGAGCAGATGGAAAGCACATGAGTTTGATTGTGTCCAAATATTGTTCAGCTTACTCCTTCAAATATGGCGACCTTACCACTCGATAACACACTAAGAAGCATCCCCCCTAAACAACATGATTTGAAGACAAGATAAGAAAAACACATTAATACCAACATGCACACCATTAACATTAGGGGTTGAAACCCCTAATCACGTGATACTAACATTAACACAATGGATGCTATTTTAAGATAGCAGGGGCAGGTGGTGTTCACTGATCAAAATATGAACAGTTTTCGGCAAACACAATACTTAGGCAACTATTGCTTAGTTGAGAAAGTTCTTGGAAGTATTCCACTTGGTCATGCCTAACGCAACGGTACCGTTGACGGCAAAGTTGCCACATGTTGAAGCCCAAAGTGTTGAGATTGAAGACGATGATGTCGCCGGCTTCCACCTCACCACATGGTCGCCAAACTCCAACACCTGCACTCAAGTCTCACACCAGTGCCAAGCGACCACCATCATGGACCGGGGAAGGGGATGTGGAGCCAGGTCCACAGGGACTTCTAGAAATCCCTTGGGACAACAAGGAAGGCAGTGTCATTGTTGATCTACACATAGAACCGATGTGGCAATGATTATATGTGCTTGTGCCCCAACGTTGGTTAGCGGCCCCACTTGGGAAGAGGTAGCTCCATAGCCTACTTCCTCCCCGACACCCTGGGCTTCAGTGTCCACCGGTTGTGCGGGATGACGTCCTCAACGCCATGTGGTGAATGGCAACCCCTGACTCCATGACATCCATCTTTTTATCACCTTGTTAGTAAGTAGATATAGCTAAGCATCATAGTGCAAGCCAAATGGAGCAAATCTATAATTGTACATTGCTATGATGCTACGTTGAAGCGCATGAACAAAGCAACGCACAAGCACAATGAAGCATATCTAGCAATGCACATAAACTAAGCGGTGCACATTGCTATGATCAGTGCAGAGCAATGCACATTGCTTTGATCAGTGCACAATCTAGCACTGCACACGTACAACGAATCATATCTAGCTATGCATGTAAACTAAGCAGTAAATATTGTTTGATTAGTGCACGATCTAGCACTACACATTGCTATGAATCAGTGCACTGTCTAGCAATGCACATCAATTTGATTAGTGCACAATCTGGCAATGCACATTGTTATGATCCTAACGATGAACAATCTAGATATGCACATTGCTATTATCTTAGCAATGCACAATGAGTGCTAAAATCTAATCGAAGAAAATTGTCTGATGCTATTATCAGTGCTAAAATACAATCTAATTGGTACACAATCTGCAAAATCAATCTAGTCCTATGACCCTAGCATTGTAATCTAATAAAATATGGGCAACCGAGTAGCAATGTTGAGTTCAATATACTTACATAATTCACCAATGATGGACTCGACAGAGGTGGAGCAGATAGCACCAGAGCAAACCCCGACAGGAACGTCAAAATCCCCGCCCCTCCTATGGCGGATGTCCCGGCAACCGCAGCTGATACGTCTCCAACGTATCTATAATTCTTGATTGTTCCATACTATTATATTATCTGTTTTAGATGTTAATGGGCTTTATTTTACACTTTTATATTATGTTTGGGACTAACCTATTAACCGGAGGCCCAGCCCAAATTGCTGTATTTTTTTGCCTATTTCAGTGTTCCCAGAAAAGGAATATCAAACGGAGTCCAAATGGAATGAAACCTTC